TCACTTAATTTTGAGTTTTTTTTTCAGAAAACAAGACATAATTTCTATTGCTGTTTCACGTGTCTAGTACAGAGGTCTCAAACTGCCGGCTTGCGGGCTATTTGCTCATATCAGGAGCTTTGACTGCATAAACTCAGGGGAACAATGTCTGAGTGCATCAGTGACATCAGGTTTTACACTTATTTTTGCTGTGCTTGAATGTTAAAGCGGCCCTCATATGATGCCCTGGTCTTATGTATCTTGATTTTTTTTTTTAGATATCTGTATTGAAAACAGGACAAAACTACTAAGTTAGTTATTATTATTATTATTATCATAAAAGCTCAGGGATGTTCAAGGACAACATGTTTGTGCACTTTCTAAAGATTTTAGATCTGTTTTTGAATAAAGGGTTGGAAATGAATGATTTTCTTAAAAAAAATGATCTGTTTCATCAAATAATCAAAAAAGAAACCGACAGATTAATCAATTATTAAAATAATCGTTAGTTGCAGCCATAAAAAGTACATTTGAGTGTGTAACAGAAGAGTACGCAGAAGAGTATGGCACATACTCCTTCCTCATTAACCGAACGTTATGTTGTTTAGTCACGTCCCCTTTCAATCATCTCCACACATCATCCACATTTCTTCCATATTTCAGCAACAGAAAGATCTGACCCTTCCTATCTGAAGATGCAGCTCAACTCCTTGTTCAAGCTCTTGTTCTCTCCAGACTCGACTATTGCAGCTCTCTGCTAACCGGGCTCCCAGCTAACTCTCAGTCCAGTCCAGCTTACAGAACTAAAATGCCCATCAGTGCTTCACACCCCAGTCCAGCAGGTGACAGTAGAGCACCTTTAATGTTGATTCACCACAAAACATCTACAGAAGAAGAGTCCAGTGGAGGAGCTCCAGACTTCTGTTCTGTGTTTACTTTATTATTAAAGTTTTTGCTTCTGAATGGGCGAGTTTGAACTACGAGTACAGTAATAAAGACAAAGAATAAATCTTTAGTAACGTAATATAGTTTAGCTTCATTTTTTACTTGCTTAAAAAGAACTCGGGGTTATAATTCAGTCAGGAAAGCGTGAAATTTGCATCTTAATCCCTTTATCTTGCTTTTGTGCGATACCCTCTGAAAATAAGAACTCTTAAAGAGTAACATAAATAAGGACAGAATCATACCTGTTTGTGTATGAAATATCAGCTGAAATAACAAAGTCCAGCGTTCCTGATCGCTTCTGTAGAGGAATTTACAGTTGAGCCCCAATATATACTGAATAAAGGCAAGCAGCTGAAGTATCCGTCAGATAAACAGTCTGGCAGCAGAAGGTTCAATATAAAAGCTGGAGTGTGTTGTCGTGATTTCTTCAGCACTGAACCTCCACACGAGTTTTCCTTGCTCTGAGCTTTTACTCGGATAATGCCTCTGCTAACTGTGTGCTCAGCACTACTGCCATCTAGAGGACAATAACAGCAGCATCCACTAATCGCCACATCCCCTTTCATTAGAGAGAGAACATCATCTGCAGAGCAAACCCAAAATACACTGCAGCTTTGCTTTGTTTATGGGCGATTGTAAGTTTACGCTGGTGACGCCATCATGTTTGTATTTGAATGGTGGAAGGCGGGAACGCGTGTTCAAAATGGAATCAGTGTTCCAAACCGCAGAATGTTGATAAGATGTCAAAGGTTCTGTTGTATTTCCGGCATTTCTCGTAAGAAATCTGAAGTACTTTAACCGCTTATTTTGCTCACAATATTATTATATGTTGGACGCGAATCGATCAGTGCGACATAATATGAAAAGTGTAAACAAACTACAAACATGGCGGACGTGCGGGGCCAACCATCAAAAAGTAGACGCTTCGGTAACATTGTTTGAATGACTATTAATTAACATTTAGCCGACTGGAAAATATTTAAATCACGTTGTCCGCGTTATATTTCATCTGCAACAACAATGTGAACTAATATAAAGACGTGTCTGGACATTTACCTTCTGAATTTATAGTTATCCAAATACCTGAAGAGATTTCTCAGCATGAAAGACTCGTGAATGGCAGATTAACCTGCTGCTTCTCCAGTATGGTAGGCAACTAAATATGAAAGAAATGTGGATGATGTGTCGAGATGACTAGAACTTAGTATAAGAATAAGAACAGGGACACAGCAAATTGGTTTAGTACGGAGAAGTTTGGACTCATTTTAAATTTAATTTCAAAAAGAGTAGACTGGCACTTTCATTTCTCTTCTTTTTCCCCTGTATTTCTTTGATTTATTCTCTTTACTGAGGTGTTCCTATCTTGTTTTGTAGATCTGTATCACAGCGAGCGATTATCTCTGCTTTTCTGCAGTAGACGTCATGTGTCATGAGTAAACATCTTAAATGTGGACATGCAACACAGAAAACACTTTAAATGTTAATATATTTTACTGATATGATGTAATAAAGCAGCAGAAATCATTTAACATTTTAAGAGAATGAGTTTTATAATAATATAAACTATGCAAATAGTTTTTACAATAAAGTTTTATTAATACAAGTCAACATAACTGCAATACATGAAATAATGACTAAGAATTTTTTTCTGATAAAACCAAGCAATTATGGATGTAAAACCAGCATTCAGATAGAAATCCACCATTCAGTGATCTCTTACACCCGCGTTGGTTTGTGTTGTTAAAATGTACACTGTATTTATTTTTAATGTTTAGATATTGCCTAATTAAAACACCTCAGGAGCCCCAACATCACTCTACACCCTACTATTTCCTCTAAATCGCACAAAACTTGTGTCATTCACACAAAGCAGCACAGAAGAATGACACCGGTTTTGTGCGATTTAGAGAAAATGGGGTGAAGAGTGACGACTCCCGAAATATTTTGCTCATATCTAAACGAAGTAAACAGATACAGTGTTTGTTTTAACGGCTCAAACCAGCACAAATTGAGCTCAAACAACCTGTACTGATTTGAAGTCATTTGAGCAACATGGGGTGAAAAGTGACGTCACACGTTCAAAAAAATAATGCTTAATATCTCAACACAAACGTTCATTTTTGCAGCACAAATCAGCACAAATGTAGCACAAACAAATGGCAAAGTTTGAGGATTATTTGTTTTTATGGGGTGCCAACTTAACGGAGGTTCAGCACCTGGTTCTGGGACATGTAGTTAGGGCAAACTTAAAACTCAGGCAAGGAGTCTTTGGGACCGAACCGGTGACAGGTTTACCCAGGAGAGTTCCTCTGGATTATAGCCCTCCCAGTCTATTATGGCCCGTTTCCAGTGAGTGGTACAGTACAAATCACCTTTATCAGGCTTGCGTTTACCTATAGGCGTGGTGTATGAAAGAAAGGTTCAGTCGACGTCATTCTCACTCGATGAAATGTCAAAGTAAAGCTGTACTGGTTGATCACATATGAGAAGCACTTCTAACAAAACAGATGCTTCATACACTTAAATACTTGTGTATAAATGATCATTACTAACTTTTCTATGAACAGGATTTGATGATAACTGCAGATCAATGATCAACAAGAAATATAGCCCACAGTCAGTGCAACCCTCTCATCTGTGTCTTAAATCTTCTCCAGCACATGCAGCCACTTGTTAGAGAGTAAGTAAGTCATTCTGTGTTTTTAAATAGTCCAGAAGGTGATGATAATAGATGAACAAGACTGATTATTCATGTTTGGTTGCTGACAGAATCATTTCCTCCTTTGTTTTTCATGCTTCACTCTCGTGTTTGTTTGTTTCTGAAAGGATCAGATGTCAGAAGCACTTCAATAGTCACGCACAGGATATTATCATCAGCTCAAGAAGTTTGTTATTTCAAATATAGACAAGCAACGAACGGCCATAAAAATGTACCAAACCATACCACTCAGTGTAACTACAACTACAGTAAATCAATGGTAGATTTCTGCTGTGTTTTCAGCACCATTTCATTTGGAAATTTCTTACATTTGCCACAAATGGTTCTGTGGACTGCCATTGTAGAATATTTTAATCGATCTATATCAATGAATTATCCTAAACTTAAAGAACAAAACATTCTCCAATATCTTTTAAATGTGTATTGACAGGGTTTAACACATTTTGGTGTTAAGAATACTGAGAGTTGAGCTCTTTCAGATGAAAATATTGATTTAACTATTGCCTTCATTTGATTCTGCCATCAAGTTACATGTAAAGACAAACAACTCAAAAACCAGAGGACTTGAAAAGAGGAATAAATACTTTTTTCGGCTCAAAGTGCATAGAGGATGGATCTACAGATATTTCATGTGAATAATGAACGACTCAAACCTGATAGAATATAAAATAATTGATCATTTCCCCTTTCTGCACATACAGCAATGAAAGAATCACTCTGAAAGGACTCGTTATTGCAGAGTCACATTAAAGATTTGTTCCAGAACGACCCATCAATACTGCAAGTTTGCATATCTGTACATTAAGGGCCTACTCATACTATGCCATCCGTACCGTGCCCAGGCCCGTTTCCCGGATCGTTTGAGAAGTGTGAGTGCGCTGAATCGGGCTCAAGCATGGTTCACTTGGCCGGCCCTGGCCTGGTTGGAAGAGATGTGCCTGAGCGCGGTTCACTTGGGCTTTGGCGCGGTACGCTTGTGTGTGAGTTCAAAACGCGCCAAAGCCCGAAACTGAAAGCGAGACATGACTTTTAAGGGACTGTTTCATATGGATTTATTAATCATTCTTACTGTTCAGTAAACGCAAACTGCCGTCGTTTATTAAAGACTCCTCACTGCACGCCAGCTGCGCGCCTTCAGCAGACCTCCTCACTCCTGCAGCACGAGAGCTTTATGATTGTTTATGAGCGCCAAAAGTGGCGGATCTGTCCGGTGAAATATCTGACTGCGTGTCACCGCATCCCTAAGGACTGTTTGGCGAAATATTTGACTTCATGTCTGCATAACAAACGACTGAAACGACATAACTAGAGAAATCTCCACTGTGCTGAACAGCACAGCATCGATGACGTAAGCGTGCCGAGGCCCATTTGTGGTGTGAGTGCTGGCCGTCGGGGGAGACAGGAGGGGGGACAAGCGTGCTTTGGCCCGGTTCGAGGAAACTACCTAGTGTGAGTACGGCCTCAGACGTGACACTCTTGTGCGTTTTTCAATGTTTCTGACTGACTGAATCTCACTTGTTTCTCTCCAGTGTGAATCCTCTCATGTACTTTCAAATGTGATAACTGACTGAATCTCTTGCCGCAGTGTGAACACTTATTAGGTTTCTCTCCGGTGTGAGTCCTCTCATGTCTTTTCTGGCTTCCTAACCGATTGAATCTCTTGTCGCAGTGTGAACACTTGTAAGGTTTCTCTCCCGTGTGAATCCTCTCATGTGATTTCAGATGTGGTAACTGACTGAATCTTTTGTCACAGTGTGAACACTTGTACGGTTTCTCTCCAGTGTGAATGCTCTCATGTGCTTTCAGGCTTAATAAATGACTGAATCTTTTACTGCAGTGTGAACACTTGTAAGGTTTCTCTCCAGTGTGTATCCTCTCATGTGTTTTCTGGGCTCCTAACTGATTGAATCTTTTGTCGCAGTGTGAACACTTGTACGGTTTTACTCCAGTGTGCGTCCTCTCATGTGCTTTCAGATGTGAGGTCTGACTGAATCTCTTGTCGCAGTGTGAACACTTGTACGGTTTCTCTCCAGTGTGAATCATCTGGTGTTGTTGTAAGTTTGCAGCAGTAAAAAAAGTCTTCTCACACTCAGAGCACACATACTCTCTCACACTGGTGTGGATCTTCTGATGATTTCTTAAATTTACTTCATTTGCAAAACTCTTTCCACACAAAGAGCATGAAGGCTTCCCCTTTATATGAACTCTAAAGTGTTTATTCAGGCTTGAAGCCAACAGAAATGATTTTCCGCATTGACCACATGTGTGTGTTTTCTTTCCAGAGTGGATCAACATGTGTCTATTAAGGGATGATGGGTCCCTGAAACTCTTCCCACACTGAGAACATGTGAATGGTTTCTCTCCAGTGTGGATCATCATGTGGATCTTGAGATTCTTTTTGTTTGCCAGACTCTTCCCACACTGAGTGCAGGTGACCCATTTTTTGTCTTTTCTCTTCGGTGAGTGAGCTTTTCCTCTCATTTTAACATGGTGTGTCTCCTCCATCAGGCCTGAAATAAAAGTGAAAAGACAGCATTTTATTTAAGTGATACAAAAAAATTATAGACAACAACTATAAAATCACGATTATTTCAGTCTTCAGCGAGTTACACCGATCTTTCAGTCACCTTCTTTATATAAATATTTAATATTTGCCCAAACTATTTTCCTTCATTCATTGAATTTCAACAGCTGCTGTAACACATTGAGCCACTAAACACTGTTCTTATGATGTTTTTCTACAGGAGGAAAATGTGAATTACTTCCAAACACTTCAACTATAGTCTGTGTTAGTAAATGCAAGACTATTGATGAAATCCAGGCAGAACACTGTAGGACAACATTTAACTGTTCTAGAGCCCACAGCTAATCAATCTGTCAGATTCAGGAGTGCATCACAGCTCTAAGAGGAAAACGGAAAAGGCAGAGAAATCTATGTGACCCTACTCATCCGAGATTAAGGATGCAACGATTATAGATTTTGTTTGTACGATTATAGTCTGGGAAATAATCACGATTATCACTATTATTATGCCTTCATTAATTTCAAAACACTACTAGTTTAGAAAATCAGATGAAAACTCCTTATATTTTGCAGTGTTGTTTATTGCTGCTCAGTAACCACTTCATACAGCACATAATAACATTAAAAACAAACAAAAGTCAATTTCTCTCTGTGTGCTTTAAATTAAAAGAAAAATTAAACAAAAGTAATAATTTTACACTGAAAATAAATGACAGATAAATACATAAAAATAAGTATATATATATATATATATATATATATATATATATATATATATATATATATATATATATATATATATATATAAAAAACATGCATTTGTCTAAAATGCATTTGACTGCCACCAGGCAGTCCTTATTGTTGAGCCCTGCAAAACCAACGTAAGATTATAATCATTTAATTCAATGCTGAAAGCTGCAAAGCAGGCATCAGTAACTAAATAGAAACATCAATGAAAGAGCAGACAAAAGAAAGGAAGAAAAGTCTCACTTCTACTACTCTTTAAACATTTCGGTTGTGGGAAAAAAGCAGGCGAGTCAGCCGACCCAAAATATGAGCGGGACCCATGCACCTGCACAACACCGTTCTTTGTCATGAGCCGCAGTTTCAGTTTAAACTTAGTAAAGGTAAACTTCTTTAATGATGTGTACAGTGTTAAATTTTACATTTAGCGGCCATTTGCGCTGAACACGCAGTGAATGCAACGTATTGAGGCCCCGTTTACACTAGTGCGATTCAGTTTTAAAACGACGTTTTAGAATGAAAACGATTCGCGTCCACACTAGCGTTTCACCCAGCGTTTCTGAACAACTCGCCGTCTACACCAAAACACTGAAAATGCAAATCACTTGACCACACACACACACACACACTCTCTGGTAGTGATGCTCCGATTAATCGGCCACCGGTCACGATCGGCCGATATTGGCTAAAAATAGCTTGATCGGCAAACCCCAAAAGCGCCGATTAAAAAATGCCGATCACTTGACACGAATTACTCGCACGACTTTTTCAACGTTGAAGGATTCGGATTTCTGTTTTTCAGTCCATCTCATCTTGGACCAACGTTTATAGTTTTCATCAACCTGTTTCTCAGTATTTAACTGTGAATTGATTTTAATTAATGAATAAGTTAAAACATTGCTTAATATAAGAATGTTCAGTGCATTTGCCAGTCTCTTTATACCTATTTTCAGGAGCCAGCAAACTAGGTCAGAGGTCATGGAGACCTTGAGTGGAACTGAGGGCTGAGTTGGAAGCAACTGTTTCTATTGTTATTTCTACGAGTTAATACTGTCTAAAATGTCTAAAGTGATTTTGCTGTTTTTACGGTTAAATCTTTTAAAGTGATTCTACTTTTTATTCAAGATAGACTTTGTATAGTAAGAATATAACTGCCTGAATGTAGATTATACCATTTTTTAACCAGTTTCGATAAAGATGGCTGAGAGTACACTCAGCCTTGGATAAGAAACAGATTATACTTTGTGTGTGTGTGTTTTATTTAATTGTTGATCCTTTCACAGGTCTGGAGTCAGCTCTAATCAGTCTAAAGGATGTCTGACGTTTATGTTTAGATATTGTTCAGAATATACGCACGAACCCCACGTGGAAATGTTCCTAGTCTATCTGTGTTTTAACCAATCAGGTTAGAACACCTATATGTTTGACGCAGTTAATGACGTTATGTAAGAGTATAATTGTTATTGATTGGTGATTGTAAGGCAGAGCGGCCTAGGAACTCATTGCGAGTGTTGAAGCTGGCTTCTGCTGATGAAACTACAAACTATCTTCAGTAAACTTAATTTATTTATTTAAATCTCTGACTCCGGCTCTTCTTCATCTACCAGACTGGTCATTCTTTGGGTTAAACTGTAAACTATCCCTACAACGTGCATACACAACGCACAGGTAAACATCAGCAGAGCAGAGCTTACCAGTGGCAACATGAATTCCCCCGTCTATTTGAAAGTGTCAAATGAAGACGTAAAGTTAGACGTTTACAATGTTTGTCGTGATAAAGTCCCTTGAGGTGGAAGCAAGCAACGGCATTTTAACACCACTAACATGATATATACATTAGAAGACGCCATACAACTGATTATGCGGAGTATGAGAAGCATGATTAAACGGCGTGAACCATGTAGCAGGGATAGTACGAGGTGGAAAGACATCGCGTTCAAAATCAGAATCATGGAATTATTTTGCCTCGACGAACAACCTGTGATATATGGAGTGCAGACGCCCGTTCAATGTCCCTGCTAAGCTAAGTTTTACATGTTGCTGCCAATTATAAAATGTAATCAGTGTATTAAGAGGCTACATGCAATTAAGCTGATCTGATGTGTGTTGGTCTGGCTGACCCCTCTTTGTTTGGAATAATTTTAAGTTATCGTCTGCCTTATTTGGGAAAGATGGCCTACAGTAGTCTTAAGCTCTCATTTTCTAAAATAAACACTTGGTGGACAAGATCTTGACTGTAGGCTTTCTACAGTATTTTTTAAATATAGTTAATTTAGAGTTAGTTTCATTTGTACAAATGGTGCAAACTCTGCTAGATTATAGATAAAAGATTCCCCTGCCATTATGTGATCGGCAGATCATGATTTTTGCGATCGGCTCCAAAAATGCTGATCGGAGCATCTCTACTCTCTGTCATGCGCTGCAGATATCTACCCAGATGAGAGCTGTGCTAGTCTGAGTGTTCATCAAGCATCTCCCGCTGGATCTAATCTCACTATATTTGATAAACGTGATATTTCATTCATATTGTTGTCTTTATCTAACAACATATTCCCCGACTTTGGTCTTTTGAATCTATTACTTGTACTAACGTGTTCTGGCTGAGCGCAGAGATAAGTCAATGATCAATGTCACCACGAACACTCTTGATATTGACTGAGCGCTTGTCTTTATTTCCTATAATGTATAAACTTAATGTACGTTATACTTTTATAATGGCCATAATTGATTATTAACACTGATATTCAACAAAAGAGAGGGAGTTTCGTATTTTCACTAAAATTGAAAGGAGGCAGTGATGTACGCTCTGTCTTGTTATAAATATGCATCCAGTGAAGATGACGCTCATATATGCAGCACAACGCTTCAACATTTCTGCTGTCTGTAAGTTGTTAATATCAAAATGAAAATAGCAGTTTCGTATATCATGTTTTCATATATATATATATATATATATATATATATATATATATATATATATATATATATATTGTAATGGAAATTCATTTTTAGATGAGCTTTATATGTTAGAAACTTGTCTAAGTCTCATTATTACATGTGTGTGTATCTGTGTTCTCCATATGTTCATCATAAAACCTATGTGTACATTTTTATAGATAACTATATTTCTTTAGGTGAAAGCTTTTTCATTATCCTAAGAAGGATGTGTGGTTGTTATGAGCATATCGCACGAACAGCAGAAGACGCCTGACGTAATTGTAGATGAGGCCTTATTGGGAGTTGACCTCGTAAGTAGTACAAACCAGATAAAAGGGTGAACACACTTGACTTCAGTATCTCACTCTGCAGAAACTGTTGTTGCTGTATGACTGTGATCTTCTTTATAAAGAATAAAACTTGTAAAAGACATCCCGGGTAAGACTTTGTTTCTTGACCACTGAGAGAGCCTCCTTAGAGAAAATAGCCACTACAATATATATGAATATATATATATATATATATATGAGCAATATTCCACATGGAGTGTGCGATATGGCTGTATATCGGCACTGGTGGGTGCACGCCTCCCACCAGTGCCGATATACAGCCATATCGCACTTCTACGAGTTTTTACAACAGTGTGATGACATAATTGTGTATATAAAAACAAAATCAAACATGGAGAGTTTCAAAAACCCTTTTGTTTGTGGAACTACTTTCTTCCGCGTTGGATTCAAATCATAAGCTGACAGTTAAACAGCTGAGCAAGCATCTTTTAAACTTTAGATCTGTAGTGTCTGCTTTTTGCTGGCTGTATGTGGGCGGAGTAATACACAAAGGGTAAAGAGGCTGTAGGAGTTCTGATATTGCAGAATATCGCACGGCTATCAGCCAATCAGATTTGAGAACCAGACAGAACTGTTTTGTGTGTGTGTGTGTGTGTGTGTGTGTGTGTGTGTGTATATATATATATATATATATATATATATATATATATATATATATATTTTTTTTTTTTTTTTTTTTTTAAATCCCTGTGCTTATTAAGATTATTTTTCTTACCCCATTGGCAAATTATTTTGTTTGTTTTAAGCAAACAATCACTTATTTTGAGGTGTTTTTTTTTCAGAAAACAAGACATAATTTCTTTTGCTGTTTCATGTGTCTAGTACAGGGGTCTCAAACTGCCGGCTTGCGGGCCATTTGCTCATATCGTCACATTAGATTTATAAGGTTCTTCTATCTGACATTCTTGTCAAAATTGAGTTAACATATTCTTATCAAATGACATCTTATTTACATTATGGGATGTTTTTTGATAAGTTGTTGACATTTTAAGACTTTTTTTATTTTAAAACAAATGTTACACACATACTGTCTGCAAAAACTTTGAAGTTCAGTATCTTTAAGTCAGAACGCTGACAGAACCATAATTCTAAGGTGACGATATGTCAGGAACTTGACAGAATAAACCCGAGGAAAGAATGTTTGAGTGCATCAGTGACATCAGGTTTTACACTTTTTTTTTGTTGTGCTTGAATGTTAAAGCGGCCCTCATATAAATTGTCAATCACTGATATGCCCCCGCCAATTTGAGTTTGAGAGCCCTGGTGTAGTATGTATCTTGATTTAAGATTTTCTTAGATATTTGGATTGAAAACAGGACAAAACTACTAAGTTAGTTATTATTATGATTATTATTTTACAGCTCAGTGATGTTCAAGGACAACATGTTTGTGCACTTTCTAAAGATTTTAGTTCTGTTTTTGAATAAAGGGTTGGAAATTAATAATTTTCTTTAAAAATAATCTGCTTCATCAAATAATCAAAAAAACAATCCACAGATTATCAAAATATTAATTATTAAAATAATCGTTAGTTGCACTTGCAGCCATAAAAAAGGTACATTTGAGTGTGTAACAGAAGAGTACGCAAACTTTGACACATACTCCTTCCTCATTAACTGAACGTTATGTTGTTTAGTCACGTCCCCTTTCAATCATCTCCACACATCATCCACATTTCTTCCATATTTAATTCCCTACATTATTGGAGATTCAGCTGTGTGTTAATCTGCTATTAACAAGTCTTTCATGCAGAGAATCTCCTCAGGTCTTTGGATAATAATAATTCGTGTAGCGGTAGTAATGGAGCAAGTTAATGCTGGAAAATAGAAAAATGCTAAAAGAAAAGGAGAAAACGAACAGTCCAGCTTACAGAACTAAAATGCCCATCAGTGCTTCACACCCCAGTCCAGCAGGTGACAGTAGAGCACCTTTAATGCTGATTCACCACAAAACATCTACAGAAGAAGAGTCCAGTGGAGGAGCTCCAGACTTCTGTTCTGTGTTTACTTTATTATTAAAGTTTTTGCTTCTAAATGGGCGAGTTTGAACTACGAGTACAATAGAATAAATCTTTAGTAACTTAATATAGCTTAGCTTAATTTTTTACTTGCTTATAAAGGACTCAGTGTTATAATTCAGTCAGGAAAGCATGAAATTTGCATCTTACTGCCTTAATCTTGCTTTTGTGCGATACCCTCTAAAAATATGAACTGTTAAAGAAGAAAAGTAACATAATTAAGGACAGAATCATAAATAAGGAGAGAATCATACCTGTTTGTGTATGAAATATCAGCTGAAATAAAGTGCAGCGTTCCTGATCGCTTCTGTAGAGGAATTTACAGTTGAGCCCCAATATATACTGAATAAAGGCAAGCAGCTGAAGTGTCCGTCAGATAAACAGTCTGGCAGCAGAAGGTTCAATATAAAAGCTGGAGTGTGTTGTCGTGATTTCTTCAGCACTGAACCTCCACACGAGTTTTCCTTGCTCTGAGCTTTTACTCGGATAATGCCTCTGCTAACTGTGTGCTCAGCACTACTGCCATCTAGAGGACAATAACAGCAGCATCCACTAATCGCCACATGCGGAGATCGGAGAGAGCAGAGGTTTATTTCCTCTTCTGTTGCGGGTGTTGTTCGTCTGTTCAGAGTAAGTGTATGATATCTGACCATAGTAGCGTTCGCAGACTGGCGGGAATTATCTTGCGGTTTGAACCGCTTTAACATATGTGCTCAATGCTAATATACTCTCTTGTTTTTAGCTCGATGCTACGCTGTAAACACTCTTGTAATGTCTTACTCACGGGTTATCTGGACACCTTTCATTTGTGTCTCCATCTAATTCATTCACTAAGAGGTAGTTTAATGCTGATTATATTGAATATTGACTGTTTAACTGAACATATGCTTGTGTAAACTCTTGAAGAGACGCAAACGCTTTATTTTGCAGTAAAACAGAATTTGGGATTAGTATAATAATATAAAACACTTAATTCATTAAAATATTGAGAGATAAATGTAAGCAATCAGAGACATGATCACGCTGCACACATGACATGTAGAATCGGCCACTCAAGACTTACACACACATTTATTGAACAGGGGAGAAACACCTATTTGTAGCTTGTGCGAGAATATTTTGATGATGAAACATATTTTAATAGGATGTATTTTTAAAATGATATTAGAGCGTGTTTTAATTAAAAAAATATATTGAGGAAAATGTTTAGAAATGTGTTTTCTGGAGGAATTTTACAATATTTATCATTGATAAGACTGAAAGACTTTATAAGACTTTTTATCAGTGTTGTTGTTTGTATGTTTTAAATACAATTAATTATTGATTTTTAAGAAACAGTTATGGTTGTAAATTATATACTGAATATTTAATGCAAGTGTTTCTGTTATAAATGCAGGAATATTCCCATCAGGCTCAAGTGAAGAGTTTACTGAAGGACAGCGAGAACATGAGTGATCCAGAACCCTGCAGAATTAAACCTGAAGATACTGAACAACAAATAGGTTGGTTTTTATTCCTGATTCTTCATTAATAAGCCTGAAGAACAATAATGATGAAAAGCTTTTTCTGAGTTATTGAACAACCACAAAAAAACTAATGATTTTATTTAAAGACAGAAAAAAGTAAATGTAAAAAATAGGGACTGAAACTCAGTTGTCTTTTATTCCCATTTAATATCACAATAATCTTAAATACTACAATAACAACATCAACACTATAGAGCTCTGCACGGTCAAGCACCCCTGTACATTTAAGATCTTTGAAGCAGTCACTCCTGTAGCCGGTCTCTGAGGTCTTCTGGCAAAGACCTTTAAAGGCTGATTTATACTTCTGCGTCAAACGCCGTCATATGCTACAGCGCTGACGCATAGCCCTTCGCCGTGGCCGTCGCTGACCTGCACCTCTCAAAAATTGTAACTACACGTCGCAACGACGCGTAGCGCAAGCGCTGTGATTGGTCGGCTTGGTAGCGCTGACGAGTCTGGGCGGGACCGAGAGCCGCGCAAATGGCGCAAGCTAGACGCGAGCCCAATGGAGCGATTGTTTACAAGTGTGGAGTCCCGTGAAGGAGCTCCGGATGGAAAGTTTTGTTCTGTGTTTACCTCATAGTTAAAGTTGTTGCACGTCCGCCGGTTCCTGCCTCAAAATGAGCGAATTTGAGCCACTTGTACATCCAGGAAATGTTCAGGAAAAGCAAAACAGCAGCGAAGAAACTTGACACAGAGGAACATTTACACCTCACTGCCAACTAGCGTTTCGGAAGTGTTAATTCAGACCAACAGAGACAGCGCACAGAAGTATAAATGCACAGCTGCGCGCGTTGCATGCGCCGTGGGTTACGCCGGTCACTTGACGCAGAAGTATAATCAGGCTTTAGCCAGAACTCGTCCTAAGACTTAAAGGGCCATGAAACCCCCTCATTTCAGCTGGGTGTTTTCACACCTCTACTTTGGAAAAAGTTAGAAAAGTGGGCGTGTCCAGCTCTGTTTAGGGGGGAGTGTCGGAGGAAGAAAAGAGGCTTGGTGTGGGAGTGTCTATTTGGGCACGCTGAATTTAAATTAATTAAATTAATCATGATAAAACAGGCGGCAGCTGTGCTCTGTCACTTTAATGATTTCGCTTTCATGTGTCTTTTGATCCTCAACTCGTTTGTTTATTACAAAATGAGGGTTAATATGAATAATCACTAAACACAGCGTTTTAACACCTATTTGAACATTAAAGCGCTCACGTTAATGACTTTATATGTGTGTGCGCTCTGCTCGTCACAATGTGCGAATGAGATCAAGTGCAGACAGCATGCTTCTGACTGTGTCTGCGCGCCGCACACACACGCACAAAAGCATGCAGTCTTTCGCGCTTTTAATAGCAACAAGTGAGGACAACTGGACAGGGGGCGGTAAATAATAATATAATCGTTTATCTCGATTAATGATTTTTAATAATCGTTAGAAGCCATAATCGACATCGGATTTTCGATTAATTGCAAAGCCCAATTTTACGGTAAATATTTGGTTGACGAGCTGCAGTTGTTTGCTGGCAAATTTAACCGAATAGAGCATCCCTATTGTCTTTAGTTTATTTCAGCTTAGTTGCCAAGATTCTGTAGACATGCAGTAAGTGGTGTACAGTGGAAGAGCCAGTTATGCAAAAATTGATATTTTAATATAATAAGAATTCATTGAGATTGAATGATCTGAAATGCATAACTTAATGATTTATACAATTTAAAAACATTTACTTTGGTATTTTGGCTTCCGACAGCAATACGTCATGAGGTCATTAGTTCATACGTTTAAGTCAGATTGCAGTTATGGATGTTGGAAGCAACACAGTTTTTTGACCGAGCTGATCGAGTCTATTGTAACTTTTTCTATTGTAACTTTTTGTAACAATTTTTTTTGGTTTTCAAAAAGGCTCAATTAATCCTTGTGTAAATTGACTACCCTTTCAATAGGTTTGTGGCTGTTTCTTATGGAAGTTTTTTCCTAACAAAATTAAAATGAAAATTCAAATGCTTAAAAGATCAAATGATAAATCAAATGCTCAAACTATAAATCAAATGCTCAAACCGACATTGCAAATGATAAATCAAATCCTCAAACTGACTCTGCAAATAATAAATCAAATCCTCAAACTGACATCGCAAATGGTGAATCAAATGCTCAAACTATAAATCAAATCCTTAAACCGACATTGCAAATGGTGAATCAAATGCTCAAACAACTCTGCAAATGGTGAATCAAATGCTTAAACGACACCTCAAATGGTGAATCAAATCCTCAAATTGACATCGCAAATGATAAATCAAATGCAAATGAGATGTCAATCAACCAGCATAGGCGGAGATTTAAGGCGGAAGAGTTTGTTGTTGACAACAACCGGTAGCGCTACGACTTTTTCAAGGCGTTCAGATTTGCGTGCACTATTCCACGTCGTATCTGTATAAACTCGTGAAAGAGAAAACGAGAAATCTTCTACTGCTTCTGTCCACATTCTGAAGTGTTCATCAGATGGGTACATCTATTATAGGAGGCCACGAAAAACCATACGGCAAGATAATAAAAAAGTTACATAACTGACGTTACAATATAGTGAATAGTCACTAGACAAAAGTAGCCAAGGTGAGTACATCTTAATTTTCAGTCAAAAAATGAAATAATGTAGTTATACATTATTGAAATTATTAATGTATTCATCAACAATTAAAGAAAATATGGATGTATGATTAAAAGAATTAATAATAGTAACCATGATAAATAAATACAAGTCAACAAGGTACAAAACTAAGCTTTATTCAAACTTATTCAAACAATCATGTATTTCAGACAAAACCCCATGTTCTGCTGCATGCTGGACTTCTGGACTTCACTTGTTTTTGCCATCACATCCCATCAGTGCTGCAGTCAGACTGGAACAGAGTTGTGAGGTGAGGCTGTCCATGCCTGAGAAACCGATTCATACTGAAGATGAAGAGACCACACCAGCATCTGGCTCAGATGAGGACACGCAGGCAGGTGGAGGGATGCAGGGTCTTGTCCATGGCACTACAGCATCTTCAACATTTACTTCATCAGCACACTGCTGTTCTTCATCATCATCACTGCTCACACCAGTCTGAGGACATTTCAGATTATGCAAAGCTCTTAATAAAGAAGTCATTTAACAGCACACTTTTTGAGTTTCATTTGAGTTCTGAATTGGAAGTAATAACATGATCTTACTTCATGTTTTGAATTCAGGTTTTCTCTGTTTTCTTGCCTTGCAAGTCCTGCTCCAGCCCAGAAATGGCATATAAATCAACATTAAAGAAATTGTTGTAATAGCGGTTTGAAACAACAATATTTTGTTAAACAAATATGATGGTAGCATTTGTTCAGTCACTCTGCATCAGCTAACACACAAACATGTGTGCTTCCTTCTCTATAACAACCAGACAAGTCACGTTACCTCTGTGATTTGTGTGCTCAAAATTATACTTTCATAAATGTATCACCAACTGAACAGAAGAAAACATTACTGTATTAATATTACATGTATCTAACCTAAGCTGAATTGACAAAAGTGCATTCTACATCAGCATAAACAAATCACTCAGACGTCTGTTTAATGTTATAATTTGCTAATCTGCTATACCTCCTATATTTTTCTGTCACACATTGAATAATCGTCTTTATGTAAATTAACGTTTGAAACGTAACGTCATGTGCTTACAGAAGTTCCTACATGATAATTTACAGCAAGATAAAATAAATATACTGTAAAGCATCTTTACACTTTCAGTAATTCTACAGTTCACTGTACAGTAGCTCAACTATTGCTATTTTACTGTAACTTAAGGAACCGTCTTTCTGGATTTAATTACTTACATGTAAGAAGTCTAAATCCATCCAGTTTTCCACAATGTGACGTAGCATCATCATCTTGCCGTATGGTTTTTCGTGGCCTCCTATGATAGATGTACCCATCTGATGAACACTTCAGAATGTGGACAGAAGCAGTAGAAGATTTCTCGCTTTCTCTTTCACGAGTTTATACAGATACGACGTGGAATAGTGCACGCAAATCTGAACGCCTTGAAAAAGTCGTAGCGCTACTGGTTGTTGTCAACAACAAACTCTTCCGCCTTAAAGCTCCGCCTATGCTGGTTGATTGACATCTCATTTGCATTTGATTTATCATTTGCGATGTCAATTTGAGGATTTGATTCACCATTTGAGATGTCAGTTTGAGCATTTGATTCACCATCTGCGGAGTCGTTTAAGCATTTGATTCACCATTTGCAGAGTTGTTTGAGCATTTGATTCACCATTTGCAATGTCGGTTTAAGGATTTGATTTATAGTTTGAGCATTTGATTCACCATTTGCAATGTCGGTTTAAGGATTTGATTTATAGTTTGAGCATTTGATTCACCATTTGCGATGTCAGTTTGAGGATTTGATTTATCATTTGCGATGTCAGTTTGAGGATTTGATTTATCATTTGCGATGTCAGTTTGAGGATTTGATTTATCATTTGAGGAGTCGGTTTGAGGATTTGATTCACCATTTGCAAAGTCCGTTTGAGCATTTGATTTATCATTTGCAGAGTCAGTTTGAGGATTTGATTTATCATTTGCAATGTCGGTTTGAGCATTTGATTTATAGTTTGAGCATTTGATTTATCATTTGATCTTTTAAGCATTTGAATTTTCATTTTAATTTTGTTAGGAAAAAACTTCCATAGTTTCTGCCCCATTGACTTCCATTATAATCACTTTTTTTGATTGCAAAGCCATGACACCAAATAATCATGCATTTTTGGTTGTTGGTGGTTTACCTAGTTGTGAAGTGGTACAATTTGTCAATTTTACTGTTGATCATCAGTTCGCACAATTAACCCTTTAGATAGGCCTGTGCAAAAGCTATATAGTAACGCCACAAATTATATAGTGCGTGCAGAAATACACTGAGAGCTGAGGTGAATCTTTTTTTCTCAGACATATCAAAGTAAGTGTGCAAATGTCTGTCTTACACTCTCTCTCTCACACGCACACACACACACACACACACACACACACACTATACTCCATATAAAAGGTAGAAACTAAGCTTTTTTTTGCACTGCAACTGATGATCAACAGAATTAAAATTAAAGCTTGTATAGCCAATGATTTTAGCAACTTTTGCTTTAAAAACCTGTTTTTTTTTTTATTTCAGACCTAATTGAAGAAAATGTGGCGAGTAAAGAGGAAGAACATCATGTCAAAGTTGAGGAAAAATATCTTAAGATTCACATGAGTATGATTCACACTGGAGAAAAATCATTGACATGCACTCAGTGTGGGAAGAGCTTTAGCCAATTATCAAACCTTAATAAACACATGAAGATCCACACTGGAGAGAAACCATTCACCTGCACTCAGTGCGGGAAGAGTTTCATCCAATCATCATCTCTCAATCTACACATGATGATCCACACTGGAGAGAAACCATTCACGTGCACTCAGTGTGGCAAGAGCTTCATCCAATCATCGTCCCTTAATCTACATATGAGAATCCACACTGGAGAGAAACCATTCAGATGCACTCAGTGTGGGAAGAGTTTCAGCCAATCATCATCCCTTAATCTACACATGAGGATTCACACTGGAAAGAAACCATTCACATGTACTCAGTGTGGGAAGAGCTTCAACCAATCATCAAACCTTAATCAACACATGAAGATTCACACTGGAGAAAAACCATTCACGTGCATTCAGTGTGGAAAGAGTTTCAGCCAATCATCAAACCTTAATCACCACATGAGGATCCACACTGGAGAGAAACCATTCACATGTACTCGGTGTGGGAAGGGTTTCAGCCAGTCATCATCCCTTAATCTACACATGAGGATCCACACTGGAGAGAAACCATTCAGATGCACTCAGTGTGGGAAGAGTTTCGGTCGATCATCACAGCATGATATACACATGAAGAGCCACACTGGTGTGAGAGAGTATGTTTGCTTTGAGTGTGAGAAAACCTTTATTACATCTGGAGAGTTGAAACTGCACCAGAGGAATCACGCTGGGGAGAAACCGTACAAGTGTTCACACTGCGACAAGAGGTTTAATCAGTCAGAACATCTGAAAAGACATGAGAGGACTCACACTGGAGAGAAACCGTACATGTGTTCACACTGCAACAAGAGATTCAGTCAGTTACCACATTTGAAAACACATGAGAGGATTCACACTGGAGAGAAACCGTACAGATGTGATCAGTGTCTACAGAGTTTCGCTCATTTGGTGCAGCTTAAGAAACACATGGACCAAAAGCTGCACACATGACATGAATACAGCATAACATTTTTTTTTATATGCAAAGGAGCTTTTGGTTTGGTGTGCACCCCCCTTTGAGTCCTTAAAATCTCTCTGCGAGTGATCCTACAGATGCGGATACATCTGTACAGCTCTGCTGCTTCACTGTCCAGTGTGTTCATGTGGCTAGTGTTGTTGTTTTGGATGATGTTCTCTGTCTGACCCACTCAATGAGAAACAACTCAATGGGAAGAAACCATACATCAAAGAATGCAGAGCTCCAGGACACGCCCGTATCCACACTGGAAGAGAGATCATCATCTACAGCTTAACCTCGCGAAAACGGAAATGCTTTCTGCCAACCCGACTCTACACCAAAACTTTTCAATCCAGATGGACGGGGCAACCATTACTGCATCCAAAATGGTAAAAAGCCTTGGAGTAACCATTGATGACCAACTAAACTTCTCTGACCACATTTCTAGAACTGCTCGATCTTGCAGATTCACACTCTACAACATCAAAAAGGTCCGACCCTTCCTATCTGAACATGCAGCTCAACTCCTTGTTCAAGCTCTTGTTCTCTCCAGACTGAACCATTGCAACTGTCTACTAGCCGGGTTTCCAGCTAACTCTATCATACCTCTTCAGCTGCTTCAGAACGCAGCAGCACGAGTGATCTTTAATGAACCTGAAAGAGCACATTTCACTCCACTGCTCATCCGTTTGCACTGGCTGCCAGTTGCTGCTCGCATGATGTTTGCTTACAAAGTGACTTCAGCCTTTGCTCCTTCTTATCTGCTCTCACTTCTGCAGATCTATGTGCCCTCCAGAAACATCTGTTCTGTGAATGAACGTCGCCTCGTGGTTCCATCCCAAAGAGGGAAGAAATCACTTTCCCGAACTCTCACGCTCAATCTGCCCAGTTGGTGGAATGAACTCCCTAACTGCATCAGAACGGCAGAGTCACTCGCTATTTTCAAGAATAGACTAAAAACTCAACTATTTAGTCTCCACTTTACTTACTAATATGCAACTCCCTCTCTGGCTCCACTGCTAACTGTACTAAAAACATTTACATTACCAATGCTTTGCTTTTTACATTTTACACACCTAAAACTTGCCTACAGCACTTATTCGTTGTTGCTCTTATAGTTGTGTAAATTGCTTCCTTGTCCTCATTTGTAAGTCGCTTTGGATAAAAGCGTCTGCTAAATGACTAAATGTAAATGTAATCACTATGGGTAGCTCAAAGGTGTTTAGGACACTAAATCAATTACCTGTAAAATCTTGGTGAGATTTTCCATCTGCTTGAATGAACTCAAAAAGTACGTTATTTCTGCTCGAGATTGTACACAGTTACATCATTTCATGATCTTAATCTTCAATTTGGTTTGCAGTATTCATGGGGACCAAAAAGTCACTTCCGTTACGCTCGCTGCCATATTTGTTTCCGATATGGTCACACTCACAACTGCAGCGCATTAAAATGAGATTAAATAAAGATATATTTTGATAAAAAATTAAACAACTACTGGTTCTGATGTTTTTAATTATACCTCGAACTGTGTTTTGTTCCTTCAACTTTTCTGTGTCTCCAACTTTCTTTTCGTGAAGTTTATTTATAAACTAATTTCGAGAGGATCACATGCTTATGATTGCTTGTCAGTTCAGTTTTCAGTGTTTCAGTTCAGTTTAGCTCAGTTCAGTGTGGTTTAATTGTCACTGTTGAGAATTCAAACACTGAAGAGCAAATCCATCGATGCGCAGCTCTACAGGTCCTGAACCATGCAAGCCAGTGCCGACAGCGGAGAGGAAAGAACTTCACCAATTAACGAAAGTGAAGAATTAAAAAATCTCGAGAGAAACCAGGCTCAGTTGGGCACGACCATTTCTCCTATGGCCAAAGGTCTTGTGCAGAGCTACAGTCTAGACACTGGAGAGTGCTGGATGTCAGCTGTGCCTGGAGCATCACAGGAATCAGTCTCATGCTCTCCACTTTTCCATGACCACCACAGCAGCTGCTCAGGATACGGCCTGGTCCGGGATTGCAGAAACCTTAGGATCATCTCATCATCACAGGTCTTGGATTGCATCAGTGGCACTGCATACTCTCTGGGGGCTTTGGGATGCCCAGGTGGAAGTAGAGAATAAAGACCGGCCTTCCAGGACCGAGTTTGGACACCCCTGGTCTATATAAGAGAGATATGTGGAGCACATTCATGCATCATACTGCTATGGGATGCATTGAGTGTATGCTTTACTAGAAAGATAGGTATTTAATCTAGTTTTGAATTGAGAGAGTGTGTCTGGACGTTATCAGGAAGGTTATTCCAGAGTTTAGGAGCCATAAATGAGAAGGCTCGACCTCCTTTACTCGACTTTGCTATTCTAGGTACCACCAGAAGCCCTGAGTTTTGAGGTCTTAAAGAGCGAGTTGGATTATAGCGAGACAGAAGGTTGGTTTGATAAACAGGAGCTAGATTATTTAAAGCTTTGTAAGTAAGAAGTAATATTTTAAAATCAATACAAAACTTAGCAGGCAGCCAGTGTAATGAGGATAAAATTGGAGAGGGGTCTGGATGCAGACCTGGTGCAGTGCAATCAGAGCTGTATCCATCGCTTGTTAATGCACTCACCTAACCCCACCCGTCACAGTGATGTCACTCACTCCATTGATTGCATTGTGTCTGACATTGCATCGCTGAGTGATGCAATCTCAGCTTGCATCATAAAGGCCGCATCCAGATTGTTCAAAGGGCTTCTTTTACATTCTGCTGCTGACTAATAAGCATTTGCAGCGTCACTTTAATAGGCGGGACTTGGAAGAGGAAGAGAAGCAGGTGTGCTGAGCATTTCGCGAACTGAAATCGCTGCAAAGTGAAAGTTATCTGCTTACGTTTACATGCAGAATAACACCACTGCTGATGTATATAGTTGAAAGTTATCTGCTAATGTTTACATGCAATAACGCCTAATGTCTGATTTTGGAGTAGTAATTGATAACAGTTGACTAATAAGCTTGCTTCCATGTGCAGTATACTTAATGGAGGTAATGTAAACACTTTACATAGATAAACGTGATTGTTTCATCTAGTTATTTACCACTTACACTTGTTGATTTATTCTATTATAGAAAATGTGCCTCAGTCACGTTTAGTGGACTACTGGCGCCCTCTTGTGGACAGTTAGGGAACAACTGCTCTGATTATTTGCATTTACATGTTGTGCAGTTACTGCAATTAGTATTACTATTTTATAATTATTAATATTGTTATTTGCTGTTCTAATTGTTATTTATATAATTACTTATGTGAGATTTTTGTATTGTTTTAGAAAACCACAACTTATCTTCAGTAAATGTCCGAATGAGATCTGGAGTCTGAGTGAATTTCTTATAGATGACAGTAAACAGTTCTGTCTGCAGGGATTCAAACACACCCAATCATCTCAATATGAACAATTGAGATGATATTGTCATATTTTCTAGACGTGGTAAGAACTCTGGCAGCTGCACTTTGTACTAGCTGGAGTTTGTAAATAGAGGATGCTGGGCAGCCAGCAAAAAGAGCATTACAGTAATCCAGCCTAGAAGTCATAAAAGCATGGACTAGCGTTTCAGCATCTGAGATGGATAGCATACTTTGTAATTTAGCGATATTTCTCAGATGAAAGAAGGCAGTTTTTGTGACATGGGATATATGATTTTCAAAAGTTAAGTTGCTGTCTAATATGACACCCAGATCTTTTATAGTAGAGCTAACGCTAACTTTGTATCCCTCTAATATCAGTGTACCTTGCATGATTTATAAATTGCATCAAGTTATCGCGTTTTCATAGTTGTCTATTTCACTTTTTATAAATTTAATATGCATTATTTTTATTTCAGACCTGATGGAGGAGACACACCATATGAAAATTAAGAAGAAACTAAATACTTTTTGAAGACAAATTTTCTCTGATTAAGTACGTCGTTTTAAATCAGCCTGATCTTCTCCATACTAAACTCATTTGCTGTGTTTCAATTCGCAGACTAGTAGGTTCTAAATATATGTACTTTTGTGAAGAAAAGGGAGTATGGGCACTAGAGCGTGTAACAGAAGAGTATGCAAACTTTGGGACATACTTATTAATAAACCGTTACGTTGCTTAATTACTCCCCCTGTCAATCATTTCAACACATCCCCATTTCTTTCATATTTAATTACCTTCTGTATTGTAGATTCAGCAGCAGGTTCTGTCATTCTCGAGTCTTTCATGCTGAGAAATCTTTTCAGGTATTTGGATAATTATGCATTCAGAAGGTAATGTTTAAACACGTCTTTATATTAGTTCACATTGTTGTTGCAGATGAAATATAACACGGAAAACGTGATTTAAATATTTTCCAGTCGGCTAAATGTTAATTAATAGTCATTCAAACAATGCTACCTAAGCCTATACTTTTTGACGGTTGCCCCCCGCGTCCGCCATGTTTGTAGTTTGTTTGTACTTTTACTCGAGAATGTAGTTTTGATCGATTGGCGTCCAACATATAAAAATATTATGGCCAATATTAGCGGTTAAAGTACTTCAGATGTCTTACGGAAATAGCCGGAAATACACCAGAACCTTCCAGAACATCCTCTTCTCAACATTCTGCGGTTTGGAACACTGATTCCATTTTCGAACACGCGTTCCCTCCTTTCGCCAATCAAACACAAACCACATGATGGCGTCAACAGCGTGAACTTACAACCACCAAACAGCAAACCTTTGAAACTGTTGTCCATCTTCTTTGGTACTGTCCATTTACAAAAATATTTAGAAAAAAATGTCTTGAATTTTATTCGATGTAAAAAGTGTAATGAATGTACTTTGTATTGGAAAGATGTAGTATTGGGCTTTACTGAGTATGAACAACCTAAAAGTAAACAGTTGTATGTGGCAAACTTAATTTTGCTGCATGCTAACTTTCACATTCATAAGTCAAAATTTTCTAACTCCAGACCTATGTTTGTGGGGGTTTTTAAACAAATTTAAACAATACCTTTCACTGATCCAATTGTCTTATAACAAAAAGGCTCCAAAAAGCTGTTTCTTTTTTTGTTTTTGCTTTTTGCATTTCTTTTTCTTCATTGTTAAATATGATTGTTCTGCCTATTTGTTGGTGTATGTATAAATTGTATACACTGTTTATGGGCTTAATAAAAATAAATAAATAAAACAGAGCAAAGCACGACTGGGAAAGATTGCGGAACAATCTTATCAGTAACAGATTCATTCATGTACTTTACTACAGTAAAACACTATATAGTATTTATTTCTATATTTTTTGTGGGTAATTATATTTAAATGTGTGAAGGTGACTTTGTCTTTTAGTCACAATTAGAGAGTTTTATCATGTCTATGTCTTGTGCTCTGCAGATGATGTTCTCTCTC